TGAAGGAGTAATGTCCACCTTTTTCACTTGGTCCTGTCTCGTTGATAATAGTACGAACGACCAATTGATATTCATTTGATATTAAAAGTCAAATATACAAGAATGTATTCTTTATTCCACCGAGATAAGGTTACAATTATGCTAACTGTTTTATAAGTAAAATACGCGTCACAGCATAATCACGTTGTCCGGCTCAGTAAGCCGGTATCATCGAATAAATGAGTGCGTGTGATATTTATTGAATTTAATATTAAATGGAATAAAAAGGTATGAGCCTGTTTTAATAGAAGATACTTAGGTACTAATATTATATTATTATTTGGTATTGAATTTCATTCTCAACAGGATAAGTTTTAACATCGCCTTGTATCTGTTCTATTATTAATACTTAGATTCAAATTCCTTCAATGAATTCCTTAGATTCAGATCTTACCTAAATAACGGGAATCTAAAACATTGAAATGGCAACACTTAGACTCAAGAAAATTTCCTTTTCTACACTGACATTTTCTACTTTACATTCTTCGAATCTTCATTTCTAAAAGGAGTTTTAAAACGTTAAAATAATGAAAAGGTATTACCGAGGTAAAATCAAGGCTTTAAAGTTTAAACTTTCGAAATAGGAATTTCCGATCGTAAAAAAAGTTACAAGTATGTATTTTCTGATACGTAGAGGTTTGATACGTATTGGAATCTATAAATATATAATAGTTTTTGAGGAAACTCGTAAATAAAAAAAAAAATCAACAAGAAAATCCGGATGAAGCTATTACCGAGGTAATATGCTAAAGTGTTTGCAGCTAATACTGCGATGTGTGATTCTATTACCGAGGGTAGAAAAATAATAGGAATGTTGGGTCCGTACCTTTAGTAAAACACAAATTATTGGCTATTCTAAGTTTCAATCAACAATTTTTAACTCTGATAAAGATTTTTTATCAAAATCACTACATTACGGACTTATCACCTACTACTATTATTACAATGGCACTTATGTATCAGTTTTAATAGTCTTGATAATCTTAATAAATAATAATAAGAATAAAAATATTTTTTTTGTATGAGTAACATGTTATTTTGAATAATAATATATGTGTTTAAAAAAGGAACGAAATTGTTACGTAAAAATTTAACCCTGAGTTAGAAGAATAGGTATGTAACGGTGTGCCATGCCACCGTTTGTTTTCCTAGGTTTCAGTATGCAAACTTTTTACTTTTGAAATTCAACATCATTTCATTTTATTACTCGTCTTTCGTAATTTAAAATTTTGACTAATCAATTATACTCTTTATGGATGTCAGTTCGTAAGAAATTCTCCTATGCACAAGATGAAATTATAATACAATACAATATTAATGGTATAAATTTTACTATGTAATTTTAAAATAATTCATTTATTGTGATAAATAATGTGATATGGTGATACAAATTATATAACATATGTAACTACTAAATTGTAATCTGTATTTTGGAAGATCCAAAAGTTAACTAGAAGCCCGACAAGGGGTATGTATTCGATTATTTGATAAGTATGTATTAGTTAAGTAACTTACGAACTGTTTTTATAAATTTATTTTTGTGCATAGGAGAATTTCTTACGAACTGACATCCATAAAGAGTATAATTGATTAGTCAAAATTTTAAATTACGAAAGACGAGTAATAAAATGAAATGATGTTGAATTTCAAAAGTAAAAAGTTTGCATACTGAAACCTAGGAAAACAAACGGTGGCATGGCACACCGTTACAGGTATAGGGGAAAGTAGGGTTTTGAATTTCATATGAGGTACTTATTTGTTTCTAGAGAACTCTAAACTCAAGAATAAGTGTTTTTATGCATTGGTATTAGAATTTTATAGTGAAATTTATACCAAGTAATAACACTCGGTGATAGCTTCGTAAACAAGGTATTGGCGATAGATAGCTTGTTTTCACCATCGGTGATAGCTTCATCCGCGATAATGTAAATAATGTAATTCCAAGGGATAAAATTTGTTTAACTTTTAACAAGAATTTTGAATTAAGTGGTTAGGTTTAAAATACAGACTGGGTTATAGTTTCACGTCGTATTAATTTAGTGCTGTCATAAAAAGTTAATTTTTCATGGTTTAATTTAGGACAACAAAATAAGAGTTCTAACGCAAATTTTTACCTAATTATCTGAACGAATTACATAGAATTTTCTTAAAAAAATAATAAATTCAAGAAGATAATTGTGAAGCTATCACCACGGTATTTTATTTTTATTTATTGTCGAAAAATAATGCAACATAAAGGAAAATTAAATAATTACAATAATGGCTGAACCTATAATCCACCTTGTGACCTAGTATGAATCTGTATATATAATATGGTTTGTTTTAGACTCTTTTATCCTTAGCAAAATATTGAGTGCACTTACGTATGGTGACTTGCGTTTATGGGTACTTCTTGAAAAAGCAATTTTTGAGTGTCACAGGGACCTATCTCCTATAAAAATAAATTATTATGATAAAAACTACTATTACATCGTTTCTTCATTTCATTACGCATCGTGTCATATAGATTTCACGGATAAAAAACGACGTAAATCGGAGTAACTTACCCTCAACACCTCAAATCCGGTCAATTTTGCACGTTTTTACCGTGTCACACGCGCGCCGACTTTTGAGCAATCGCAAATATTTTTGAAATTACCCACGTTTTTAATCAGTTTGTAACACAAATTTAAAAAAGACAAATCGGTTTACATATTGATCAAATTTCAAATTAATCGGAAGGAAACTTTTGATTTTATGGTCAGAAGTATACGTGTCACACGCCTAGCAAAATTTTCGCGGCGCGCCTTGCGCGAGATACTGTTCTGAGCTGGAGAGGCGTAGACGCACTCCGATTGGTGTTTACGAATCGTCATTTACGCCGCAGCTAGCAGGTGAGGTGGGCACGTCGCTGTTTCCCGCGCTTTCGTTGCGAGAATAAGTTCTTCAATTTCTTAAATTTTGGTTCTCAGTTATCCGGCTTTGCCATATCACATTTTTTCAATATAATTGTACTTCTTCTAGAAAATGGGTTTTAAGGTGAAATATCTAGCTCTATAATGTAGATAAACAGTAAAAAACTAGCCGGTTATATCTTTTCAATGCAGAGTAATTGCAAAATATATGTTTTTTGGTAATTTCCATGGTGTAATTTCCATGGATAAAACACCATGGAAATTACGTATCACCCATGGAAATTACCTTGTTTCTTTTTGGTTGAAAAAAAACAAACGTTATGTTCAATGTTTGTTTTCAATGAAATGCACGCCATCGCCAAATACAGACTTAAATGTTGAATGTTGGTTATTTTTTTTTATTAAATCGTCTTAAATATCACCGGATTAAGTTAACATATTATATAATTTATTTACTTATTGTAAAAATTTACTTTGATTAAACACTAAATTGGTACCTGTAGGGCCAATGATTTTCTCAAAAACGATAGATAGCCAAGGGGGTTATCTTGACTGAAATAACCTCCTAATATCTATTTATGACATGTGTTCGCTATCTATCGTTTTTGAGAAAACCACTGGCCCTACAGGTACCAAATTGGTGGTAAATGAAAGCCAATTAAATTTACAATAAATTAATTATTGATATTTGACGTAGGATGCGTATTTTATAAGATAATTGACAAAATAAATAACCATTTCGAAAAAGGGTTCTCTATGTCACTTCAAAATACGTTTCTTCGATAATTGATACATCGACAACTATACGAGTACGTCGAAGCCTTCATTGTTCGAAGTTTCAATACATCGCATATCTTACTTCGACGCCCGACTTTTGTTTGTCCGATGTAACGTTACTTCGAAAAATTTGCCAGATGCTGAAATTTCAATGTTGGTCTCATAGTGAAAGTTGTTCAGTTTTATGGGCTGAGCTACCACCTGATTTCCATAACACGTTGTATTATTTTGTTTTTTGAGAACATGAACGTGTTTACGTTTCGTTCCAATTTTGAGTAAGTACTATCATATATCGTTTCAGTATAATGTAGGTAGATCTTAACCCTAACTAATATGACAGCTTAATTTCATATATGACATGGTGTTTAGCAAAATTTTATCTGCTGTGTAATTTCCGTTGCCTTTATTGTAATTTCCATGGTCCGTCAATTTTCTACATTTATTTTTAGCAAAAGTATAGATCTCAGTCGTGGCCAATTTTAATATGTTGTTTAAATTTGCAGAAGTTTTCGAAATGTTTATATAATTCACCATAATTTTGCGATTTCAAAAATGCCCTGGAAATTACACGGAGAACACATTTCCCAAGAATCACCCTTATATGGACTTCATGCTCGGGCACCGGCTGGTTGCAAACAAATAGTTTTTTTGTTTTTCTGATTTGTTGTGCATAGTGTGCCACGGGTCCATTCAAACGAATATAAATTGATCTTTCATAAAAGTTTAACTTGAGTAAAATATGCCTGCAATTGCCTAAAACTACAATTATATCACATACCTCGATGAAACCTGCTGATTTTTGACTACCGCGGTAATACCTGCGTTTGCCTTATACCAATTCACGTTTATACTAATATAAGATATAAAAAAGAAAGCATTGATTGTTTGTTGGTTTGTTTGAATTGGCTCCGAAATCTCGGAATCTTCAAGACCGATTTTAAAAATTCTTCTACGTAAAATAAATACGCGAGTGGGATAGGCTGTAATTTACGTGGGCGAAATTCCGGGCTGAAAAACGGCTAGTTACATTATATAATTATGTTCAATTGACTGATATTGATAAAGATATCAATAAGTTAGTCACAACGCTTACTTAAAATCACTCACTACTTACATTCTGAAATCTTTGACATTTTCTAAAAATAGAGAGAGTCGAGTCTGAGGTCGAATAAATTATCACTGCATTAGAGGTTCAAGCAAGTAGGATTAAAACATAGTTTTAGGTTATATTGCAATATTAAAAATATCAAAACATCTATAGGTAATCCAAAATGAGATACTACCATGACCACTTCACATTACAAGAGATTCTTGACCATAAACAATGTATAAACTTTCAGTCACAATGACGACCTTACAAACGGAATCAGTCGCTGAATACATCCTGGTGGAGTATAGGTGGGTGGTGGTGATACTGGCTTTACTACCTATGTCGTTGCTCTGGAAGATATGGTCCACCTTCAGGAACTACGTGGTGTTCAAACTGAATAGTGCACCGAAAATGCACGACCGGAAAGTCAAGCAGGTTCAGAAGCAGGTAAATAATTATCTCACGTGTGAGGCTAATATGGAGGGTTTTGTCGGGTAAGTCAACTGCATTAGACCGCCGTCACTTGTCGTTCAGTCGGCTTTCGTCCAGGTCGATAAAATGTTAAGTTTCCTTCATTAAAAAATGAGGTAACAATAATAACATTTATCACCATTATCTAGCAATGGACTGACACATGGCACCTGTGAAAAAATTGGGTATTTTCGAACATATCATTCTGAACGATTTAGGATAAGTAATATGTTTGCGATAACTTACTTTACTCCTAGCGTTTTGTCACGTATTATTATTTTTATTTATTAAATTCAAATAAATTGGTAGACCATTAGCTATAAAAACCATTAAAGTTTCGGTGTAATGTAACAGAGCGTCGAGGAAGGCTTTGAAAATTTTTGGTCGCAGTCTAACCTTAACAATAAAATCGAAAAATTAGCGAGTCAAAAATTTTTTATTTGTCTTTCCAATGTATGCTTCAATGAAGGTTTGTGCAATTTAAAAATGAAAATTCAAGTGCTTTCCGTACGTAAAATTAATATGGCATAGGATTAGGCAAGCTTGCTTCTTTGGTGAACATAGATCAATGCAAGATTTTTTTAAGTTCAATAAATAAGCATTGTTTAAAAACAATCTAAGACACAGAGTTATCCTTGAAACAGATTCAAAACTTTCTTTACGATGACTCAGGCCTTTGTTTGTTTTGTAAGGAGTTATCATCGGAAATACTGATTCAGTCATGAAAATTCTTCTACCCAACGGGTGAAATCGCGGAAAACGAAAGAAGGAAAAGTTACGACTGAAAAGAATGTGTGAAACTCTACAATTTTTTTGTTTAATTCTAATTTTCTTGTAGAATCTATATATATATACTATATATATCCGAATTACTTTAGCACATTAATTGATTTGTTATTAACTTATTAAAATATATTTTTAAGATTAAAGACTGGTTGTCAGGCGGAAGGAAAACCAAGCTGTGTACTGCCCGGCCCACTTGGCAAACGATGTCCTTCCGTCAGAGCTTGTACAAGAAGTCCTTCACCAACATCAAAGTCAACCTGGTGGATGTTCTCGAAGTTGACGTTGACAATATGGTTAGTAGGTGCAATGAAAAAATCCTTATTCTCGTAGAGCAAATACCAATAAAAGTAGATTTGTGCAAATCCATAATATTCTAACATCGGCAAAAGGAAGACTCAGAGAAATTTACGTCCATAAATAAATGTGACTTCATAAAAACTGGTCAGCTTTCATATATAATAAAAAAAAACAGGTAAAGGCGGGAAAGGTTATTATTATGATAACAGAAATAATCATCTTTGCCAATTTCAACTGTTGAGCCCATCACCCTTCATTAGATACAGCCTGGTGATAGACGGACAGACATTTGAGTCTTTGTAATAATTTCCCAGTTTTCACCCTAAAAATAATAAGCTTTCTAATTATTTCCTCTCGAAATTATTTCTTAGTGTTCGTCTTAATTATTCCGGGTAAATTTTATAATTTACCCGGAATAATGCTTCACATGATGCGCTGTCTACAAAATATCGTCATTTTTTAATTAATAAATTAAAAGGTTTTTGCCTGAGATTTTTTGGTTTTCATTGCGAAGTTATTGTTCAGAAGCAATTTGTTCCATATTCCAGACGGTACGATGCGAGCCTCTAGTTACCATGGGCCAGCTGTCCCGAACTCTCGAGCCTCTAGGTCTTGCCCTGGCAGTGGTTCCAGAGTTGGACCAGCTAACTGTCGGTGGTCTGGTGATGGGAACAGGTGTGGAGACCTCGTCGCATGTGCACGGCCTCTTCCAGCACATATGCCTCCGATACGAGCTCGTTCTAGCTGACGGCTCTGTTGTCACGTGCAGCAAGGTGAGACAACCAATTTAAAGTTTATTTTGTAGAGATAAACACATATTATGCGTAGTTATCAAAATTTTGCCGGGGAAAATGTTTGGATAATCAGTTTTGATTCTATCCAAAGTTTAACATAGGTTGATAGGCAGATGAATATTGTTGGATTTCTATATTTTTATACGTTTGCAAATTAAGCAAGCCTATTTCTTTTCAGGATGAGAATCCAGATCTGTATTACGCGGTGCCTTGGTCCTACGGCACTCTAGGCTTCCTGACATCAGTTGTGATCAAAGTGGTACCGGCTAAGAAGTTAGTTATTATTTGAGCTCTTATACCTTCTTAGTCTAGTAGCGTATATAGGCAACCTCAAGAATTTCAGAATTTGGTGGATGAAACAAGAAAATATTTTTTATTCTATCATCATCATCACCAGAATACGAAATATGAGTAAATATTGCTTTAAAAATTAACTAGTCGCGATCGAACGGGAATAACTCCATCTTAGTTAATTAACCTGATTAATGGTGTAATATCTTCCTATCCCGACTTCAATAAATTTTAATACCAAAAGAAAAAGTAATTTCAGATTTTCCATTGTCGTAGTGATTTTTTATCCATTGAACAATTATTCTGATAAATTCCTTTTTTCTTTATAATAACAAATACCCCCAGTAACAACCAATGTTACTTTTTGTAATCTTGGTTGTTATTTTGTGACTACTTCAGCCAAGACGAAGTTTTCAATATATGAGGTTCTTGTCTTTATTTTTTCATTAGATATATTCGTCTCGAATATCACCCGTACACCAAGCTATCAGACTTGGCTGACAGATTCAGGAAGGAATCACTAGATGATAAACCTCACCAGTTCATTGAGGCGTTACTCTACACGAAGGACTCTGGGGTGGTAATGCTCGGAGACATGGTGGATGAGATCGGAACCGATGGAAAGGTAACGTCATGCTACGCATGAAACCTACAAATCTATCAATATATCTCCACTGAATTTTAAATCTTGCAAATTTTAATATATTGAGATATTAGTTATGATAAACTTAATCATCATGGACCTATTAATGCTTCACTGCAGGAGCACAGGCTTTTCCTTGCTTGGATGGAATGAAGAATTTATGCATTTCTGTTTTCCATATCGCCATCAACAGCTTTTCATATTGCGTAAATTTTTATATCTATATATATAGTATATAACAAGTAACTTCTTCATGATGGCGTCTTTATTTTTACCAAATCTGGACCAAAAAATATATTAAAAAATTATTTCGAAAGCTAAAGCAAGTTCATGACGACGGTGTGAAGTAATATGTTTTGAGTTAGAGAATATAAAAAAAACTTCCCTTTAAACATAGCATGTTGTGATTCTTCTCTTCTTATGTAATTTTAAAATTAAACTTACGTAATACGAGTAAAAAATTTCATTATATTCGATGCAAAAATATAAGGATTTATTTGGTACTCTTGTTTCACAGTTGAACGAGATTGGAAAATGGTATTCGGAGTGGTTCTTTGTCCAAGTTCAGAGACATCTGAAAAAGCACCAGGAGAACGTCAGGAAGACTGTCGTGGAGTATATACCTCTCAGGGATTACTATCATCGACATACTAAAAGTCTCTTTTGGGAACTGCAGGTTAATAATAACATATTTCTACAATAACAACATATGTCTACAATTTTTGCGTAATTAAAATTTTGAGTAACGCGATACGCTCTTTCTGAATGTCATTTTGTAAAAAAATTCTTCCGGCAGCAACACGATCGTTAATTAATATAATATTTTAAAGTATGAACGTAATTAAAAAATCTATGCTGTGATTTACATGATTTAAGTGTATGTGTATAAGCTTGCATCTTATCTTCTAAGTAAAACCCAGGAAGGGATTGTAATTGTTGTATTTAAGTAGCGATTCAAACGATTGTTGAATATGTTATATATCTATCTATATCAACATACATGTCAAGCTTTAAAAAGCTCTTGCACATTTTTGTCACGAGCTATCCATCTAGTATGGATTATGTTTGACGAATTGACCATAATACTTTACCAGAAATTTTGAATTATAGGACATCGTACCGTTCGGCAATAATGTGCTGTTCCGTTACCTTTTCGGCTGGTTGATGCCACCTGAGGTGTCTCTGCTGAAGCTGACACAGCCACAGGCTGTCGCCGACCTGTACGAGCGCGCACATGTTATACAGGACATGCTGGTTCCGGTACAACACTTGGACAAAGCCATACTTAAATTCCATGAGGAGTTCGAGGTTTGAATATTCATTTGTTTTTCCATTTTGTAATTCTATTCACTTATACTTTCGTGAACAAAGCAAATGAAAGTCGTTATAATATTTTAACAGATAACTTATTAACAATTATTAGGTTAAAACCTCTTTCTTGTTTCTATTTGTATAGAATATTTGATCTAATTTGTTGAAAGTTTCTATAGTGGTGGGGCAAGAAGAAGCGCAATAAAATGTTTAATCTTGAAAATTCAAGAAGATTATTATCTTTAGGCAATTATATCAATAAGTTCCTTAATTTCTCCAATATTTGCTGCATTTTGATTTTTAGTTTTTCCGAGCTTATTTTAATCTCCAGCGCAAATAGAGATGTGTAATATCTTTATGGCATGAGCACACCAGCTATTTTTAACTGTAGTATAAATCGTCCTATTTCAGGTGTATCCTATTTGGCTGTGTCCATTTAAGGTGTTCAACAATCCAGGACAATTGAAGATCAAGTCTGGGGACTGGCAAATGTTCGTTGATATTGGCGTATATGGTGTGCCAAAAGCTAAGGGATTTGAGACGGTGAGACTAAGTTTTATATTAAAAAAAGGTTGAGCTTCACAACAATGGCTAATTGAATTGCTAATTAAACTCTGTAACCACTGCTCCATCGAGCTCATCATAATGTAGATTGGTAACGCTATTGATAGAATTAACCATTTCGAGGTCTATTGTGCAAAATATTTATTAATAATATTTATTAAAGTAAAGAGATCCTTCATGTTTCGAAAAGTAGATTGAGCCGTTAGTCCAAGGTGAATCCGCAATCGTTAATACCCATTGAAGCATAATGCGCTTACTTGGTTTGTTATAGAGTTCGTAATAGATTTCATCCAGATTTCAGTCATAGCCCTGGAAATTGATAACTGATGATGAATATCTAAAAACCTTCACAGGTGCCATCAACTCGTCGCATAGAAAGCTTCGTGAGCTCACACGATGGGTTCCAAATGTTATACGCAGATACGTATACGACCAGGGAAGAGTTCCGCGCTATGTTCGACCACACACTTTACGACTCGCTGCGCGACCAACTTCCTTACTGCAAGGACGCATTCCCTGAAATCTATGGGAAAATTAACAGAAATGTTAGGAAGTAATTGTAATATTTTAATCGAGCACCACAAGTAATTACTAGTTTATACGTTTCTTTACAGATTTAAATTTATAAGTAAATCAAGAACTTCAGAAAGAATGCTTTGTAAAAATGTTGATACGTATGTACATGTAAATTTTAATAAAACTGAATATATTCCTATTGTGACTGAATATATACTTATTGTATTTTTATTTATAGGATTAAATGACTGACTGTTTTATGTTTTACTTTCAACTTTTCATCAAATAAAAAGTCTTAATTGTGTCATCCATTACACTATAGAATGTATTTGGTAGTCTTCTAGAGCTATTCATTTTATAGCTTTGGCATTTTATTCAGTGCTACCATTATTCAGAAGACGACGTCAAATATTAGGCGAGAAAATGGAAATGTTTATTATACTGACATTTTACGAGGGGAAAATAGCTTTAGCTATGGAATTATTGAAGATAATAGAAAGGACAGGGAGTATGAAGTCTAGGATAGGTACCAACATGTTACGACTGATTCCGTCGGTGACAATTGTACTGGAAGTAATAAATTATATTCTTCTCTTAATATCTCACACTGGGTAAGTGTAAAAGGAGAGTAGTCAAGAATCGGTAGAGTAGAAAGTTGTCGAATAGTCCTATTTTTATCTGATTCATTAAGATCAGACGACAAATGGGAATTGAAAGCATCAATATTTAAATTATCAGGCACAGAATTTTGACGTGTTCTACTAATTCCTAGTGACCTGAGGGATTACAAGGCAGGATTTTCCTCATCGACGGAATTATGAATGTGAAGACGTTAGGCATCCCTACACACCAAAATGGAGCGATTGCGAACCTTAGCGTATTTTTCCTTGTTGGATAATTTTTAATGAATTAGTTCTTTAATTTCACGATTGAGCCACAGTGTAAGCAGATGTTTGAGTTTAATAGTGTTGCCCAAATGCAAGAACAAGACGAGACTTGGCCAGTCTTGGTCTTAGTCTTGCGCCAATACACCTGGTCTTGGTCTTGGTCTTGGTCTTGCGCTCCCAGTCTTGGTCTTGGTCTTGGTCTTGCAGCAAGAGTCTTGCAAGTCTTGCAATTACCTATTAGGCTATTGCTATTTATTAAAGTTTACTTTAGATCTTAGGAATTAACATAGCCATAGTAAAGAACAATCAGATTAATAAATGTCTGAAGATTTGATAAAAAATTCGATAACTGCCACATGGTTATCAACTGAGCTATATGCCGTTTTCCATGGGAGTAACTGTTTCTTAATAAACATTTACGCTTTATAAGCTTACATGTGCTAAAACATGTAAAAAACAAATTATTTACAATAAATTGACTGTATTTTAAAGAATCTCTCTAGAAAGAGATTGAACCCTCAACTTATATGAAATTTAATAAAAGAGTTTTACGATTTATCATTTATTTCAATAAAAAATAAAATACAACACAAATCAAATAACATAACAGTACACAACAGCTTTGTCATTAGGTTCTGTTACTTTATATCAATTCTTTTGACCAAGAATTAATACAAAGTAACCATCTGGCTGACTCATCACTTAACCTATTTCTATGTTTTCTAATTACTAATGATGCTTTAGAAAATAATCTCTCAGCAGGTACTGAAGTTGCAGGTATTGAGAGAAAATCACGGGCCATCTTCGATAAAGTCGGATACTCTGTCTCATGCGTCCTCCACCAATCTAAAATGTCTTCCGAGCTGGCAGCTCTTGGTTTTCTCAGGTACTCCTCCAACTCGTCTATCACTAAGCCTTGAAGACAAGATCCAGATGACGTCGAGGGACATTCATACAGTTTATCAAAGTCTATTACGTCTTCATCTTCATCACATACCTTATTTTCTTTTCTTGGTAATTCCAGAGATTTGTTCAGTGAGTGTAGACTGTAGTATTCTTCATAAAGTTCATTGAACTTGCGCAGGCTTTCTGTTTTAAGTTGCTTCCCCCATATTGTCAGGTCAAAAGTCTGAGCCTTATGCCTTGGGTCTAAAATTAAAGAAGTACAATAAATCCAGTTGCTCTTCTTATAATGTTTAAGCATTTTGTCTCGAGCTGCTTGGAAAGCCAGAATGAGCCTTTCATCCACTTCAGATCGATTAGGTTTCTCATCTAACTGTTTTACCATGGATTCAATTTTATCGAGCAAGAGATTGAATGATACAATGACTAGCGGTAATGTAACATATTTTTCTCCACCAAGTTTTGTACTTAAAAGTTTAAAGTTTATTAGAAACTTATGTATTTTTTCGAGTATTTGCCATTCACTAGCTGTGATTTGAAAATCATTCAATTCGGTGACAGAACTGCACAATATTTTAATGCCCGCTCTCACTTTTAAACCAAATCCAATCATATCATGTGTGGAATTCCATCTCGTTGGACAGTCAAGCATGCGATTCAGATTTGATGGCACGCCAGCTGCTTCACAAGCAGACTGAAACTTCTTCTTCACTATTACACTTATTTTTATTTTACTGGAAATACTGCGTAACTTTGTTACAGATGTACGCGAGTCAGCAATATTTGGTGCATATTCTTCATCTTCTTCATCTTCCTCAGTTTCGTCTGCATAGTCTTCATACTGCTGATCTTGCGCGTTAGTGTCAGTCTCACAGTGTAATGCTAAGGTGTTTAGTAAATCTTGTACAACGAGGTTTAAAATGTAAGCAAAGCACCGGAAATGTTGATTGTCTGAATCAAAGTGTGGTGGCAGCTGTTTGCCTAGTTCATACATAAATTTGGTATTTGCAGTTGCGTTGTCGACCGTGATACCTTGTATTTTATCAATTATGTCATAATTCAATAAACATTCGTGGAAAATCGTTGCAATATCTTCCCCAGTATGTCGACCGCGTGATGGTATAAAATCAAGAACTACAGATCGATACTTCCATTCGTTGTCTATATAATGCATAGTAACCCCGTAGTAACTCCTACCAGCAATTGACGTCCACCCATCAATGGTAAACGATATTTTAGATGATAATTGTTGAAGTCGTTCCTTGAGATTCAATTGGAGCTCTTCAAATCGCTCTTTGACTTTCCTTCTAAGTGTGGACCTTTTAGGAAACACCATATTCGGACAAATACGTCGAAAATATACTTGTGTAGCTTCGTCATCGAAAAATGAGAAGGGAATATATTTTTTCACCACCCAATCAACTGTAGCTATCGTGATGTTGTCACTACTGTTTTCCGACTGAAATAAAACAATAAATCTTGTGTTATTATTTAAAACATACTAGGTTTGAGCGTTTAGGAGGAGGAGGTTTGTTGTTGTTAAATAGAGAAAATCGTTAAATTGAGGTTTGTTATATTAAGGTTGCACCGTACTGTAATTTACCAAAATAAAGTACTTAGTTGTTACAGGCCGATTATGAAAACAAATGAAAATATGGGTGTTTTATAAAAAATATTTAACACGATAATTACATACTTAATATGTGTTATGTAATTGTGAGATAAGTAAATTTATTCTTACCTGTCCACTTCTTCCAGCAGTTACGAAAAAGCTTGCGATATCTCCGCTTAATTTTGGTTTAACAGGAAGAAATATTTGTGATTCCTTTTTGTGGAAAGATATTAGATGTTTCCTTAAACCTGAAGTGTTTATGTTTTTCATTTTTATTTCAACTTTTTTATGTTGGCACAATTTACACAAGGCAATTTGGGATGCATGAATTATTTCGAAAAACTTCTCAAATTTGCTTTTGAGTCTTTTAGATCTGTAACTCAAACTCTCATTACTCGGACTAGAACAATTTGAATCTTCGTCACTCATATTAAATTGTAGACGTGATACGTTTTCCGAAAGCAACAAGAATTAGTAAAAACTATTATTACGTTAGACTCGAAGCACAGCTCAATTAAAAATAACTGGAATTAAAATAAGTTCTTTTTTTATAGTACATTTCCTTGCTTTCTACCGCGCCACCATGGCACGTGCCGGCTCTATTAAAAGGATGCCGCCGCAAATCAAACGATGCCGCATACGGCGTACAAACACAGATTAATACCTACTTGTACAGATGCGTGACATTGTACCAATCACTATTCTTTACATATAAGTGAATGTTTTGTCGTACATCTATACTAATATTATAAAGCTGAAGAGTTTGTTTGTATGTTTGTTGACAGAAGTTTTAAAATAAATAAATAAATCCTGAACGTCACTATACCTCCAAAGTTACTATTCCTCGTGGACGAAGTCGCGGGCACTGCTAGTAAATACTTACTCTCATCATCTCCCTCAGAGATATTCGGGCTCATAAGCAATACAAAAATCCTATCGCAGGCTTTTTATTTTAAAAGTAGGTAGGTACGCTTTTTATATTATTTTATTAGTTTTGTAGAATTTTTTTACACGTTTCAAGTATGTTTAAAAGTGGCTCCAATATTTATCAAACAGGTGATATGTGACCACTTTTTGCTATTTTTTCGTGTAAAAAATTAAGAAATTTAAGAAATATTTTGTCTAAATGGACAATAATAGTACCTAAGTAATTAGTTTAAACCCATATAATCAATATTATAATATATACTTACTAAAATAAATTATTATGACATCTACTACCTATCCTTACCATTATCTAATCATAATACTACTTGCGTGATCAGTATAATGTATTCGTTTCCATTCTAAGCACATTGAAACTTATTTATTCTTTAGAACACCTGTGCTCTTAAAACTATACCTAGGCCCTGTGGCGGCAATCAATTAGTGTCAAATGTTGTGATTTCGGCGCGGCGGCACCGATTGTTGTATGTGATTTCAAAAGAAGCCGCCGCCGCGTGTATCATCACCATACTTCCGAAAAGCGGCAAATTTATTTGAGAAGTCAGTACAAAACCTTTGATGCCGCATTATCAAAGTGCCAATGGTTAAAACAAAACTATGCATGCACTCTGTTTGATTTTAATGGATATTTTTTTATTCGCTATGTATGCTTATGGTAGGTATTGGTCTTAATGCGCACAGGTCCAGTTTTTCATATTCTTTGATACAGTTTTTTGCTTCTCATAGAATTCCTAAGCGTATCTTTACACCGAACTGTTATTTCTAACTACTCCGTGAAATAGCGCTAAGTCCTAGCTGCAAGACGCA